AGAAAGGCAAAACCAGACTGAGTGGAAGGGTTGGCAGACCTCAGCTTGAATACACAAAGAGTTCTCGACTTAAACGTTGAACAAACCCAATGACTACATGGGAAGGAGAACCACACCACAGACATTTTGCCAGACAGGAAGAGCAGATGGCAAAGCAGCAGAGGACAGGTACTTAGTGTCATCGGCCATCAGGTGAAGGCAGACAGCTCCACCAAGAGCCATCCCCACAGAGCTGCTCAGAGACCCAGGCAGGGGTGGTCACAGCTGAGCGACTACTTCATGCTGTCAAGAGACCAGGCAGGCCCAGTGTGCAAACAACTCGTATCTGTGCTTTCCACATGCACCATGGAGGCATTCTCACACCAAATCTCCAATGAAGTAAGTGGAAATCAAGCTGTCACCAACGGGAAGGGGAGGAAGAGCTGGAGGGAGCAGGAGGGGATGGGAGGGGAAGGGGACAGAAAAGAAGAATGGGGATGTGTCATGGGGATGTGTTCTGTGCATGTACCAACTCCCCATGACAAGTGCAGTCGCTCTGCTCTGTAGACATGGGCTGATTACAAAAGGGTGGGCGGTGGAGGGTACCTTTCAGGGTAGGAATCACTCATAGCCATGTCGGAAGCATTCAGCTGGCTCATAAATGTTGCTAAGTGTTACAGTGGTCTCACTGTAGGGTCTGAAGTCTGTGGAATTGGGCAAGGCTGCAATCCACTCTTCAAACTTCACTCACTCTTATTTTCTAACAGTTAAGATTTTATAAAAGATCACACATTTTGATATTAACTATTGAATTTTAACACACGTTTCCATCTTATTAGAGGTGTATATTTTTGAAGAGATTACTTTGTAGGCACAGAAGAGTTAAAATAAATTCCACAAATATGACCAAAATTCACATAGAAGAGGTGACACTTTTCCTAAAACCAAACAGAAAAAATGTACCAAAGCTTGTAAGATCCTTGTGACATCGTACACTGAAGACTAAAATCAATAGAGATAAAAGTGTCATAAAATGTAATAGGCTGCTATAATACAAAATACAATATGAAATGGAAAGCTGTATTATTGTTACTATTAATAATTTATACTTTTAGCACTAGTTATATAAAATTTGTATCAGTAATCTAGTCATCCTCAAGGCCAGGGTCACTGTTTATTCTCTTTCTTTTTCCCTTCTGATCTCTACCCTAATATTTAGTATTCAGTAAAACTTTTCCTTAAGAATCAAGCCAGGACACCTTCAGATAAAAAGCAAGAAAAGAAAAATTAGCGATTTTGACCCTCCATGGAGAGCAGCGCTGTCTCTCTCGGGCAGCGTCTGTCCTGTCTGTCGGAACCAGACTCACTGCACTAAGACAGCAAGAGAAGGGTGAAGAAAGGAAAAGGAGTTTGGATCACGCGGTTCCGCAGTTCTAAGGCTCCAAGTGCTAATATAACTTCTAATTGAGAAGCATGGAGGTTTTATCTCGGAGCAGTGAACTGGAGCCTCTGCCTGGCTTCCTGACATAAATTGCTCCAAAGCACCGGCTTCAGTGACGGGTTCGTGGGGTAATATCAAGGAAACACGGACAGAAGATGCTTTCCTCCAGCAGTCTTCTAATTAGAAGAGAGGGTGCCCTCTGGCACTGTTGCTTGACCAGAATCAAACAACAAATGGCAGTGCCATCCGCACCATCCAGGGCTGGGCAGGAGGAGAAGCGGTGCCCGTGCACGTGTTCCCACCAGCCCTGAGGAGAAATGTGGTCCTGCTCCGCTTCCACGCCTGCCGGGCAGGGCGGCCGCTGTGCAGGTTTCTCCGTGTGCAGGGTCCACCATGGAGCGCTGGGCAGAGACCAAGCCCGTCCACCCGTTCCCAGGTCTTCCCATTGAATGCAACCTCTCGTTCTGCCAGTTATTACCGCTGAGACCAGAGGGAAGCAGACTAAGGCTGTATCGCCCCTCAAGGTTCCGCAAACTAAATTCGAGAAAATAGTCAATATGCACCTTTAGACAGCAGTCAGTGGGGATTTGTGAACTAACTTGTTTAATTTCCCTTTGAGTCCGTAAAAATAACTTGAGCAAATGCAATCTTCTCCTGGGAGGGCTGGATCCTGAAGGAACCTGAATGTTTACACTGTGTGTGTGTGTGTGTGTGTGTGTGTGCATACACACACACACACCACATAAATTAGGAAAGGTAAGAGCCATTAACAGAAATTAGAAAAACACAAGGAATTGAAATTTTAAATTTTGGGATGAACTATCTCATTTTTACTGTATGGCCCTTTCCCAAATTTATCTTTAAAAATCAAGATCAAGCTAGAATGCCGTAGGTCCCTCCACAGCAGAATGGAAGGGCTATTGGGTTACAAGCAGGAACAGCAGTCTGCTGTAAAGATGTTTCCTGCCCGTTTCCTTTGAAATGCGTCGTGTGATTTCATGACTCTGTACACCGCCTACTATTTAACTGATGCTGCATGTGTCATTTCTCCAATTAGATTAGAAACTCCATGGTGAGAATAATGCCTGGCATAAAAGTACTCAAAAGTGCTTGTTAATGTATTGTCTAAAATTATCCATTTTCTGTGGAAACCATCAGGGAGTCTCTGCCTCTTTTCCTTGCCTCTAATTTGGGACATGGAGATGTAAGACAGTGGCTCTCCTAGCTCTCCTGCAGCTGATTAAATGCCCAACTGGTCTTGGTTGCATTAAGCCTCCCGAAGGGCAGCTCCATTTGATTCAGTTGGCCGTTTAGCTTTTCCTTCATAGATTCCAGCTCTTGAGAAGAGCTCCTAATAGCACTTATGTCATTGTAACACATAGCTTGCCGTTGCTGTCCTATCAACACAGCATTTAAAAATGAGTGTTTGATTTTAAGCCCTTAATGGCTACCTAAGGGCTGGTATAGAGCATTACCTCGCTGCATGTATATTTTAAACTTTGCATTCATTTAAAAATTTCTCCCATTGATTTTCTTGACATCCTTTCTTATATTAGATGTTGCGGTAATAATGAAGGTTTGTTCACATGTAGGTTACACTTATTAGCTCTCCGGAGCCTGTGTATGCATTATTTCATTTTCCTACTTGCCATGGGCAGGAAAGGTTTGTTATACATGTGTTATAGCCCTGGAAACAGAGGTATAGAGGGGGAAATGACTTCCCTCATAGTCACAGGGACAGTGAGTAGCAGAGCTGCAACCAGGACCTCTGTCTCTGACCCCAGCCTTTTCTGTCCACTGTCTCAGCTCCTGGACTCTGTCCCTGACCGAGAGCCAGCAGTGTGTGTGACGGCTTGGGGGGAGCTAGCCAGCAATGTCCCCTCCCCCGCCTAGGACTCTGCATTTTTAAAGGCAAAGAAATGGAAATTTCCTCTAGTAATTTGAGAAAATGAGAACAATTTTCGTCATCATCATTATCTGGTGAGCACTAGGGGGAACAGGGACCTTCACACTGCTCTGCACTGGAAGAGTAAATTATGCAAACTTTTCAGGTAGATGTGAAAAACACAGTCATGTAATAGAAGATACTCCTAATCCCTGAAGTTCTTTCCTGGAAACCTTGAAGGCAAATGAGTAAACCACAGCAATGTGTGTAGGCAAATCCTGCACTGCACGGCTGAACATAAGACCAGAGAGGGGCGGAGCGGGGGTGAAGCTTCCCTCTCGGACAGTCAGCCAAGAACACGACACAGCCATAGGTAAGCACAGTGAGCACAGAACCCCCAAGCTGGACACCTGGCCAGCATGCTGCAGGCTGTGACTGTGGAGCACCCAGCCACCTGCCAAGGCTGAGCTCATCGCTGGAGGGATGAGAGTGCTGTTAACTATGATGCTCAGTATACCCGTGAGCACCAGGGAAGGCAGTATGCAGGGAACTTTTAACCCAGTGTGCGCTGCTTCTGATGCTCAGGGACCTTTGCTGTTACATTACCAACACGGTTAGTGGAGCGATCACGTCATGAGCCAGTAATGTGATTTTAAGCATTGCTTATAGTCACAATGGCCTCATGAATAGATGAGCTAGAAACAGAAGCTCACACGTGAAGATACTCAAAATACAGTGAATGGAAGATGGACATCCTGGTATGGCCTAGTGTGGTCCCTTTACTTCTAAAGGCACAGACAGCATGCTCAAGAACAATGCCTCCTCAGAATGTGAGTGGTCTCATAAGCAATCCGTGAATAAAGGAATTGCTGAGCATAGTGGGTCTCGTTCCCTAGCCCAGTGCTATATCTATGTTCAAGGGCAAACTTTTCACACATAAAGAGATACTGGGCAAAATAAGAATGCAATCCTGCAGCATGCTGGCTGTGGATGAACCCAGACTCTGCACTCCTGGTTTTTCACAGCTATTGCAGGACTCTGTCTGTTGACAAAAACAAGGGGACATTTTCCTCCTCCATGGAGCCACTGGCTGATAAGGAAGGGTGACCTCAAGTTATATTTCCAGTGTCATTGAAAATGGCCTGATACAAACTGACAGAGTGGTCCACAAGTTTCCACACCCAGGAGCTGGGGTAAGAAGCCAGGGCCATACCAAGTGAGTCTGCAGTTATCAGTGGGGCTCATGTGCTGATGGCTTGGGCAAGGACTCCAGGTACCATGTTCCGATGATTCAGAGTGAGTTACCTGACAACACCTCCCCACCAGCTCTGCTTCTTTTACCACCCAGCTTTGTAGAGCACAAATGTTTTGGGAAAACTCTGGGAATTATTCCAGAAAACAGCTCTAGTTCCCACAGCACAGGATAGCATGAAACCATAGAGAAGCCAAGCAAAGTAGGAGTTGAGCTGAGAATTTGCCATTTCCACTATTTTCTTCTGTGAGTTCTTTTTAATTTTGGGCTACAAACGCATCTTTAATGTTTTGAGAAAAAACAATCAAAGCTGATAAAACACAATCTTAAATACATTCTCATGCACAATCAGATTGGAAACCACTAGAGTAGCCAGAGATGGTGTTTCTTAAGCATCTGAAGCAGGATCTCATGTGGAAAGACAAGAGTCATGACATACTTACACGTATAGGACGGATCTGGTGTCCCCTACTTTCCCGGCATCCCCCACGGTAAGAGTGTCATAGCCTCTTTCCAACTCGAACTCTTCAAAGGCGAGCTTGATGACCTAAACGTAAAGCACAGGAGGTGACTTGGCAACATGGGAACACACATGACTTGTAGCACTGCAACTACCCCTGTAGTGTTAAATTTCTCTCTCGATTCCGATGGATTTCAGTGGTCAGAAAGCTGCTTTCATGAACTACGTGGACAATTATATACACATTAGAGTCTTTACTGAACAGAACTTTGAGGATTTCAGATTTCTATTCTTTGTAAATTATTTTGTTTTCACATCTAAAATGAAGTTAAACTTTGTGTACACTTGAGGATAAATAACCATCATTTTCCTCACATTTAGGTTGGTTGGGTTAACTAAAAAATACCCTAATATAAGCAAAAGAAATGGTAATTAGAGTTAAGGAGTTATAATTTGAAGATGCTCAGAACATACCACAATAAATATTTTTGAAGTTCTCTGTACAGATATCTCATGTAATTATTCCTATTAATTATGAAAAAGACTTTCTGAGGATATGAAGCTTTCCCCTACAACATTTAGTTTTACAAAGCCTTAAACTAACTTTCTTTTTTTTTCTTTTAAAGAGAAAAAAAAGATAAACATAAGAATTAAACCAAATTTTCAAAACAGGTTAGAAGGACAGTTACAACAGTTGGTATATTGCATATTGTTGTCTTCATAGTAGTTATTCAGAGTAGAAGATACAGAAGTGATACCTTGTCCATACAATATTTACATGAAACTTTCTTCTTACTAAACTAAGAGAACCTAGCTGTGTAACTATCTTAACTATCTCGTATATACACATATTTTTTTCTTTCTTCCTTCCCCCTTCACACTCATTTCTTTCTTTTCTTTCTTTCTTTCTCTCTTTCCCTTTGCTGCGTAGAGTATCTAACTCAAGATCTTATGCTTGCTGGGCAATTAGTCTTCCACCAAGTTACCTTAGACCCCTGCACTATATGAGACTCTGTTAGGATGATCAGCACTGTAACATCTAGACAAGATTAGTTCATGTTTGACACCAATATATCAAAAATATGAGAATTTGTCCTTGTAGAGAGCAAGATACTTTCACCTGTAAAACAATTTCCTCCATTGTTGAATACTGTTATCTACGGGTAAAGTGAGTCAAAACTATCTTAAAATTAGGCTAGAGCGCTAGGAGGGAGGGAAAGGTGTAGAAGATAAGGAGAAAGAGAAATCATGCTAGAAAGAAAGAAAGAAAGAAAGAAAGAAAGAAAGAAAGAAAGAAAGAAAGAAAGAAAGAAAGAAAGAGAAAAAGAAAGGAAGGGGATTGACAGATGTTGGGTGGATTGATGAATGATAGGTTGATAGATGACTGGTGATTGATAGATGATAGAAGATAATAGTGGGTAATATCAATACAGTGATGACATGCAGATGGTAGATAGTCAAATGATTGGATGGATGCATGAATGATAGGCAACACACTGGGTGAGTGGGTGGTCGATTGGTCATAGAAGGACGGAAGGGTGGATGAGAGAGTGTGAGGCATCCATGGATGGAGGAGGACAGAACACAGGAAGAACAGGAGCCCCGGGCTGAAAACATGCCTCATGGGAGCTGTTTCTGAGTAAGGCCCAAACCCTGCAATCTTATAGAGAATTATCAAACTTTCAACTTTATTCAACTTGAAAACAGATTTGGTAGTGCTATGGAAAGATAGACTTTCCACAAATACGCAATTTATTGTGCTCATTTCACAGGGTTTGAAGAGGTGCTTTTGCAAGCAATGCTAAAAAGGAATATGTTATTTTTGCTGCTTGAATTTCTTACTAAAATTAGTGATATAACCATACTATTATAAAAGCTAGTATTTTCAATTGCAGTGTTTGTATGAATACATTATCCTAACAATCTGACTGGAAACAGCTGTAGGGTTTGATCACTGCTGAAATCAGTATAAATGCTGCATATTAAACCTAGCACCTGACAGTATTTACCTTTCCACTGTCATGATTGCGTTTATAAGTGACCATGGTTACTTATAAGCTGGAAAATAAAACCCAGACAGATGGCGAGGCCAGTGCTTTCCTGTTGTTGCCTGACATGTAACCGGGTCTTGGCTTGTTCAGTGTCCTGGCGGGAGCTGTCACAGTCCCTTAGGGCTTTGGGGTCATAGTGTTGAATCCATAAGGAGTTCCAGAGGGGTGCACTGCCTCAGGACACAAGCAGCTACTCCGTGGTTCTCTTAAGCCAAGGCTAAGCTGTTAGCATCTCCAGGGGTTCAGTTCCCACAGCCGCAAGGACTCTGCTCCTTGCTCAGGGCTGGTTATAAGAGGACACAAAGGCTCAGCGCTGTATAAAGCACCTCTCACTTGTCAGAAAGCTGTGGGCCTATAAATACGTGTGGCTGTGAGGTAGAGACACACAGAAATGTAATTGAAGTTGCAACCCCATCTTGGTGAGAGGCGGCAGAGAGGCAAGTGGAGCGCAGCTGATGGATGATGTGCACCACATGGCGAAGGTCGTGGTGCAGGTGACATTCCTCTGTCCCCTCTGCCTTGGGCAGACTCCACCTCTGTCCCATCATTGCTGCCTGTCCCCCAGCTCTCTGTGCGGTGTCCATGTGGATTCTGTGTGCAGGAGGCCCATCCTCCTCCTCAGCTCTGGCCTGGAACCCTCAGGACAGCCCCTGGGAACCTCGGGCTTTAAGCCCTGCCTATCTCGGTGGCACCAAAGGAGCCCCTGTCCCAGGACCCCTGGGTGTCCGCTCCTCCAGGCCAGCAGGAGATGCAGGGACAATTCTAGACTCCAGTATCTTAAAACTCAGGGTTAGTACCTGGATAAATTCAAAATAGTTATAACACTTCCCATTTCCACATGAAGATTTCTTAATGCAGATGTAAAGATATGATCATTCTCTTCATATAAAGATATGATCACAGAGAGCTGAGAAAGAGAATTCTCAGTCCAGACTTTGTGGCCATTTAAAATATAGTCTCAGGTCTGTAACAGCTTCTGGTTTTTCACCCAGTCTCCAGATCTTAGTGCTGTACAACTGGTCTGAGGAAATCATTCCTATCAGCTACCTGTTAAACTGCCCATCATGAGGAAATTTCCACACAGCCTGTGAGGGAAACTGCAAGACTCGAAACACTTTCAAGTAAAATGTTGCTACAAATACATAGAAGATACACCACAGTCCTTTTGAGAACTGTCATATGCCTCTATCACAGAACACTGTCTTGAGTTTGAGCCCATTCCAACACTTCTGGCTCCTGAGCATACCTATAAAAGTCTCAAGTCTATCCTTTTATTTTAGTAATACTCCATTGTATAAAAGACCATATCTTTTTTATCCATTCATTAGTTGATGTGCATTTGGATTGTTTCCAATATTTATCTATTACAAATTGTGCTGCTATAAATATGGGTGCACATATATCGCTGTGGTATGATGTTTTTAATTCTTCTGGTAGAATACACAGGAGAATAGCTGGGTTGAATAGGACTCTGATTTCCACAGTGGTTCCACCAGGCTACACTCCCACCAACAGTGGAAAAGGGTTTCTTTTACTTCACAGCCCCACCAGCATTTGCTATTGGTTGGTTTCTTGAAATAAATACATTAATATTTTCTCTGCTTTTTGTCGCTTTGTTAATTGGACTCAGAGGGAAAGGTTTGCCAAAAAGCCGCACACCAAGCATAACATGATTTTGTGTTATTTTGTGCAAAACACAATAAACTGCGTATGCCAACTGCATGTTATTTTAAGCATAAATTGTGTTATCAGATAGTAGAAAAAGTAAGCCATGTATTTTATTTATGGAATGCTATCTTGCTATCAGAATTTGGGTCATCTATGTTAGGTAATGAATGCAAAATGAACTCTACAAAAAAAAAAACCCTCCAACATATATGTACTTTTCTCCCTCCAATAGTCTCTTGCTTTATTCCTCCTAGGTGGGTCCCCACTCTGATTCCTTACCTAGCTGTTTCTTGGGATTCTTGTTAAGGAAGTGAGGAAGGATCTATACAACACAGACACATTTCTTTACTTCTCTGTTCATACTAACAGAAACTTCTCTAGGCTTGGTTTTTAGTTAAGAATTGGATACCCCCCTAGAGCCCAATACATGCATAGGTGAGGCTTCTGGGAGCCGCCTGGATTATGAGGGTCTCCCTCACAGGCTCCTCCCTTCCCCCACTCTGCTTCCTTCCAATCATGAGGCGAGCAGCTGTCCTCCACCCAGGCCCTTGCACCATGCCACTCACCATACAAGGACTGAAACTTCTAGAACGTGAGCCAAAATAAGCCTCTCCTCCTTCAGATTGGGCTGTGGGGTTTTTGTCCCAATAATGAGGAAAACCTTGCTGTATGAAAACAAGCCCTACTCTGCACAATCATGAGGAAGTCCACAGAGAAGGTTATGGGTCTTGTAGAACTGGGCCCAGTCACTTTCCAGTGCCCTCTTTCTACCAGAATTGGGATGTATTCACTGCTCGGAGAAGGGGACTTCATTACAGCAGCCCAAACTAAGAACACCACAGTCCACTGCCAGGACGAGCTCGGGATTTCAGGCTAACAAAGAAGTTCCTAAAGCAGAAGTCCAAAAGTTTAGCACTTTACCAATCCTAGTTTTATGGAAACTGAAACCTAAAGTGTTTAAAACAAGCCACAAACAGAATCCCTATGCTTCACTTGGGGAACATAGACTGTGTGGAAGAACTTTTTCAGTGATGTAAAAGTCAGAATTTATAAGCCAGAATATAACACATATTTTTATGGTTCTTTTCCCATATGCAAAAGTTTTTTAACCTAATGACTCCTTCAAATGCCTGATTAAAAATCTCAAAACATTGTTAGCAAATACAACATATATATTAATTATCTACTATTTTCTGCTGAAGAATGATATGATTTATATTTAAAAGTCCTCCAGGAGTCTCCTGGGTTTGGAGGTGGGTTCTGGTGGAAAGGGCAAGGTCACTGGAGGCCTGAAATGCAGAGCTAAGTTATGGTTTGTATCTAGATGTCCCCCCAAAGCTCCATGCAGTCATGGGGGGGGTGCTTGGA